TTTTGGGAATTAAAAATAAGTTAAAATAGTTGATTAAACGCGATAAAATCCGTATATATAGTTTTTATTCAATGTGTAGTGTTCGCGTAAATTTAAGAAATCATTATGCTTCTTTGTATTATTTCTAACACATTTTTTTAAATAAAATAAATATTAGAAATAATAAGGTGCTGTATTTTACTCTGTAATGTAATGACGGCGTAAGAGAATTCACTACTCAATATCATCCTGTGCATAGATTACTGTATATATGCTAGAGATTCCGTGTGTCGTAAGAAGCGACAGAGATAAACTAAAACATGAGATGTGTAGCAGCCTCTTCAGAAAAAAAAAACGCTGCGGTTGCCAACCCGCCTGTTATACTGACAAATATTCCCATAATATCACCAATCTTTAGCAATGGACTTACGACGATTATAAAATGTGCTTAAAAATAAATTGATTAATATTGTAATAATGCATTCTTTTCATAGTATCTAACCTATTTAGCAATGATATATCTGCTTATTATAAAAAATGTAAAAAAAATTATGATTCTTTATTCTTACTTTTATAACTCGGTAGTTCAATTAAAGCGTATCTATTATTACAAATCATTGATTAGTTTAAAACGAATGAATAAATAAAATTTGTAACAATAATTAAATATTTAACCCTTTTTGGTAAAAACAAGAGCAATTATTTCTTTCTTTTAAAAAGTTTACTTCTTAACTTTTTGGCTTTAATTTGGAAAAAGTTCTCATCATCATCTACTTCTTTTCTCCCAGTCAATATTCTATTAATATTTTTACAACTATTAAAAATCGGACAACGCATCACAATATTAATCAAATATGTAATGTGCATAAAAATAAATTAGTTGATTAACTAATTTATTTTTATGCACATTACATTTCATAAAATCAAAATCAATTAAAGTATATATGCTTGTTTTTATAATTTCTTTTAGCTGATCATTTTCAAAATTGTCTTTTGAAATATGATTGATTATATCCTGCATATTTGAAATTGATTGAATCAAATCATTACTGGGAGTACAAAGCCATCGTCTACCCGCATATTCTCTGTATTTTATGTATTCTATTTCTTCTTCAGAAGTAAGGTCATATTTACAGTTAACACAATGTTTAAAAACTTGAGTTTTTGCTTTTTTTAAGAAATATCCACTAACATGTGCAGTATACAGGTTATTGTTTAAAGAGTAGCTAAATTTTAAATTAAGTTCAAATATATAAATGATAAACCATTATTGCAGTTTTTGTAAATATGAGCAAGTAAGGCTTCTAATTTTATTTGCATCTATCCCAAATTGAACGTGATTTATGGGACACCATGTTTTTGTCTACAGATTGACCCTTATAAATGAGTGCGTGCACAGTAATATCAGTTAAAATAATGCATTACCACGCTTTTTGAATTTAAAAGATAAAAACAGAGGGGTGTTATAAATTAAACATTTGTATCTGTGTGTCCGTCTAAAGCATCATAGTGGCCAAACAGATGGAATATAATTTAGCTTTTTTTGTTGAAAGGTGACTTGATCAAGAGATTAAGAATCCGTTCAGCCATTTGAAGGCAATCATCGCTCTTTTATTAGTTTTGAGGTTTATTAAAATTTTATTAAAGTTATTTAACATTGTACATAAGTTTTATAAATTTTATGTTAGATTATTCCATTATATTTGTATGAGATTTTATTGTGTTTAATTTTATGGATTTTTAGTTATCATATAACAATATATAGTATATATTTTAGACTCTTAGAAGTCAATCCAAATTTAGGAACTTCTGTATCATCTCAACCCTTTCTACTGGAAACTTCTTTCTTTTTTTTTAGTTAAATAAATTAACATTTTTTCATATGTATATTATTCTCATTGAGTCCCCTTGAAAAGGTCACATACTATGTTCAGCTGTGGACTTTTGATGTGCTGTAATCATTGATAATACATATATGATCATATATATCAGTACCTGTTGATGTTGATGGTTCTGCCAGGTTCAAAATTTCTTTCATGGGTTTTCTTTTTATAACTGCTGGTTTATTTGATGATGTAGCTAAAAGACAATAATAGGATTAACTTTGAAATTATTTATATATATGACAATAAAAAACAGGCCCAGTATCTGTGATGACTTGCAAAAAGTATAATTTCACAATATAATAATAATATATAACATTATTTAATGAAAAAAGTAGAAAAAGTGGGGTGATAACACATTGCCAACTTAATATTTATGAAAACTAGGCTTAATTATCATCATCGTCATCCTTCTGTCAGCCGGAATCGCTACATGCATTATCCTTTTAAGCTCTATAGTGCATATAAGTAGTATTTCGTTTTATTCTATTTAGATTAATGAATGAATCATTGTGAAAATTAATGCTAGTTAGGTACCTACTTAATTAGACATATTTTACAATAAAACTATATACATGTCATTGATAATATACTGTCCTGAATTAATTCTATAACATGTTTACTTTTTCTGTAATCTATAAAGACAAACCTGGTATATTCAAAGTTGGCACAGCAATGTTACTAATTCTGTTATTTCTGCATTGAAATTTTTCTTCAAAATGTGAGTGACACACACGGCGATACTTGAATATGTGCATATTTTCGAGGTCTAGTATATCACCGCCAATTACATAAATCCATACCCTAAATCGTTCACTTTCGTTTTACTGGGTTTGGAAATCTGTGAAGAACTATGCTTGCCTAAAATATTTACGAGATACGTTTAAAAAAAGTCATACTTATGTGTTAACATTAGCCTAAGACAAATAATTGCCCTGTGATGCAAGTTGTTTGGAGACGAGATGACTTACCCTTACTGTCCTTACATCCGGGGACACAGCTACGCTTATTTGACATAATTATTTAAATTATTTATTCTATGTAACAATGGAGACAGATATCACAAAAAAACAAATCGTTTGAAATGAAGTTGTAAGAATTAGGTAGCTCAATTCAACGTAAATAATATAATAGATAAAATAAAACAAAAAAAATAACATAAAAACACTTTCATAAAATAGGAGCAACTCCACCAAATAAAATAAAATATTAGTTATTCGCAACTCCAATATCGAGAAACAAGTAGCGGGAAACGTGAATAAAAATATTCCGTAATGGCAGGTTGTTGTGCTGCCAGATTTAGTTTCAAAATAAATTTATCGAAAACATCTAGTTACTGGATTTTTTAATCAATAGTTTTACGAAAGCATATGTAAGCGGTATTTATTTATAAGAAAATTTCAAAAATTTTCATTACAGATTTTATATTAATGTTAAACAAAAGCAAATATCTTAATTTCAGCTACACTTATTTTCTACTAAATAGAACTATTTTTTTTAAAGATTTTGTAAAGCTACCTGATGATGAGACATACTAGGTTGTAGTGGCGCATTAGTGATTTCGCTTGATTGACGTGTACCTATTATTGTAGGTTGGTAAAGACTAAAGTAAAATAGATATGGTTTTAAAGTTTATAAGTGCGTCTTAATTTTGCTATACATTAGGGTGGATAGAGCCTAGTACGTGTTGAACGAATTATTCGCTTGAAATTGCGAACAGTGTCACCTATTATTGTTGGTTGGAATAATACCGATTTTATAATACGGCTAAAATAAAAGTTTTCCTAATGGAAAAATGTTATGTTAGTTATTTGTAATAGGTGATTACCTATCCTATGTAATATAAACTTTTTATTTCGGATGGGTGAGGGATCAATGCCCCTTGATCCCCACTGGCTACGTCTTGGATATATTTTGTTACTGTTTTGTGTTTTTTGTGTGCTATATTCATAGAACTGTCGGATTTTGCGGTAGATCTTTCAAAATGTATCTATTTTGTTAATTATTTTCGACTTTTACTTCGAGTGTCACTGGTGACACTTTCGGCACTCATGATTTAAAATATTGATTTTTACATGATTGTCTGATGGTGACATCGAGTCGGCGTTGTTCAATTTTGACCAGTCAGATTTCGAAGACATTACTGAAGAAGTATTGCCCCGGTCACCCGACGGTAGTGAGTGGAATTCTTCAGACGAAGAGTCGCTTGTTTAACTACAGCGAGTTAGAAGATCAACAAATTGACCGTTGCGATGGGATCGTACAAATAACTTCCAGAATTCTTCAAACAATCTTTATGAGGATCCACAATTAGTTGAACCATCAATCTGCAAACTATATAACAATATGAATATTTTTGCCATTACATCAAACCTGAATTCTTTGAGCAAATGTCACACTGTACTAATATTTGCAGCACCCATAGAACTGGAAGATCTTTAAGCCTTATTTAGGCGCATGGGGTCAAGACAATTTCAAAATGGACAAAAATAATGTGTTAGAATGCTTGGGACGCACACAAATTAGTCGCAGCCAGAACATCAACACGCATGCACATGTCGCTACTATCTTGAGTGCTGACCCCATCTGACCACTTATAAAAAAATACGTTACATATTTTGGCGGAGGTAAGTTTAATAATTTTTGTGTTTTTACTTAGTTTTTATTCATTCATTGTTATTTGTTTTTATTAGTATTTATGTATTGTTATAGTGCATATTTACTTTACCTATTTTTGTCTTTATTTTTATTCATTTTCTTTTTTTTACAGTTTTGATATGAATAGCGAAACAGAGATACTGCAATGGCTGACGAATGTGGCCGATTTCTAATCCTTTGCTAGACTATAAATATTGGACTTTATTTGAAATTGGAAAAAATAAACACTGAACTGTTACTTACTCCTGAAGGGAATATGGAACTATTCAACAGCGAATTAAATCAGGAGCTGTCTAAAGTTTGTGATGAAATGCAGAAGTGTGAACTGTTCGATTCATCATATGATGATGAGTTGTATAATCACTGTGCGATGGTTGAAACACAGTTTAAGTAATTAAAATAAATATAAATTTCGAGCATAATTTACATGCATATTTACTTACTTTGTGTAGTACCACTGGACGAGCGTATCGTAAAATAATGTCGGGTTTTGACGCTTTAAAAGATATTAACAATGCTTTCGAAGAGGACATACATCGAGATTCTTCAGAGTCTTCTGCTGCACCACGAACAACTGAACAACAGAGAGCAAATGTGATCGAAAATAATGAGGAGCAAACACTTTTACTTGAGCAGCAAACATTTAAATCTGTCACACAGGCAAATGCTGTTAAAATCTTAATAGCCACACCCGATAGCAACCTCAATCCCGAGATGATAGAGAGAACAGAAAATAAAAGATCAGTAATTAATGAAGTACCAAAATCTCAAAACGCAGCAACTTCTCCGCAATAGGATATTGAAAGAGAAACAGGACCAATATTTAATAACGCTGGCTCAGTATGAGAGGGAGCTAGGTGAATTGAGAGGTAATAATGAAGAAACTGACTCCAATGGACCTTTATATCAATATTAATATTAATTTATATCAATGGTTGAAGAAATGGAAATGATGTGTTTGGTGACGTCAATGCTGGAAGTTATGACTGCCTGGCTGACCCTCATCGAAGATATGATGCTTTGAAGCTATCGAGAGAAACCAACACGGTGGACGGGTTCACAAGAGATCATAATTGAGACCTTGATGGTTTACTGTTATTTTAAAATTTAAAATTTAAATATATGTGTCAATAATTTATATATTGTCTTATATCGTTTTTTATAAATTTAACTTGGAAGAGGACTGAAGCGAACGAGCAGCGAAGAACCGAAGACCATCAAGAAACCGAGAATGGAAAAGAAGCGCCTACCTCTGCAGGGAACAGTGTCGGTAACGATGATCAAATGGAATGTCTAACGTGTCATATATTTATCAAGGAAATGTATTTAGCTTATCATTTTAGAAGTAATGTTCAAAAAAATAATCTTTTAATCTCACATAATTCTTTATCAAACTTTAGTGTTATTGAATCTGCTTTTGGAAATAGGATTTTAACTTATAAAATGAAGACTAGAGTAGATCTTTCGACACGAGTAAGTTTTGAAACTCCTAAACTATTTTTAAAGTCTATTATAAATGATATTTTATTTTTAATACAAAAGTGTATTCATCAACACATCATTTTTAAAGTACGTTTCATATTGCATGGTGATTTTGTTCAACAAACTATGGATATTCATTCGATTCGATTTCCAAACATTTAACTATATTAATTGTCAAGATGACTTAAATATTATTCTTTCATCTTAAATGATACAATTACTAGTAAAATTAGTGCATTTGACAAAAAAATTGTGGATGGAGTCTAAAAAACATAAAATCTATACTTTGACATGAATGTTAATAAAATTAAACCCCGTATGCGGTACTTCATACACAGATCTTCCCCGTGACATAAAATTAAAAAAGGCTGTTATAAATGTAAAAAACGAAGATTATTATTGTTGTAAATGGGCGTTACTCTCAGCATTATATTCCGTAAACAAAAACACGGATCAGGTATCATGGTAAACATGCAAATAAACTTTTGATGGTATTTCCTTTCCAGTTAAAATTTCTGACATGGCAAAAGTAGTGAAATTAAATGATATTAGTATTAATGTTTTTGGGTTAGAATATAATAAAGAAAAATAATGTAATTCTATAGTAGGACCAATAATTTTAACAAAGTGTCGTAAAGATCATTTTTTTAGTCAACCTATTTCAAGTGATAAAAATAAATTTGATAGTTATGAAAAAAAGTTAAAGATACCATTCGTAGTTTATGCTGATTTTGAAGCATTTTTAAAACCAATAGAATCATGTTCTAACGATCCATCCAAACCTTTCACACATAGTATTCAGAAACATGAAGTACTTACATAGTTTTGGTTATTAAATAAAATGTTCATATGATGTTAAATTATCAAAATATGTAACATATTACGGACACTACTGTGCACAAGTGTTTATGAAAAGTTTATCTAACAATTTAAAAGAAATAAATAGACTTCAAAAATATCCAGTTCTGCTAACAAATGAAGACAAAAAGCAAATTTCAAATGCAACCATTTGTCATATTTGTGAAAGAGAGTTAACAGAACTTTTTTATTATTTGCTCATGAATCATGTAGCTCGAAGCTCAGAACACCACGTCATATATCAATATTTTGACACAACTTTAGTCATTATGATGCTTATTTTATTGTTCATGTATTATACTTTTGTGATGGTGAAGTCGAAGTTATCCCTTAAATTATAAAAAAATATATATCCTTTTCCAAAAAATTAAAAATGAAAACCATGAAGTTTTAGAGTTGAGATTTATTTAAGTGATTCATGTAAGTTAGAAATTATAGCCAAAAATGTCAGTAATGATCAATTTCAAGAATTACGCTAATTATTATTCTGTATTGTTGCTTATTCGGTTAGAGTTTTCTGGTTCTAGATTTTTGTGTCAAGTATTGTTTCATATTAATTTTATTTTTCTTTGTGGGTGGTTTGTTAATTGGTTTGTCGATTTCCTCTACCGATATAGTTACCTCTGGAGATTCTGATAGAATTCCTTTGTTTGATTTTGTAGTATGGTTTATTATCTCAGCGTTTTTATTTCCTTTTAATACCCTGTTCTTGGGTTTCTTTAAGTTTTACATGCAGTTCTTTTCTTTTTTGAAGCACTTCTAATGGAAAATCTTTTTGTATGTAGTATGGTGTGCTCATTAGGAGTTTTTTCTTTTTTAATAATTCTATCTTTTTACCCATCGTGGTGAAGGTTATAATCACCGGTCTAACTTTTTCGATCGGTTTGCCTAGTCTTCTCATGTACTCTATGTTGTTGGTTCCACAATTTGCTTTCATGTGTGTGTTTATTAACTCTAATATGTTTTCCTCTAGGTCATGGTAGGTTTTTTCTTCTTCACTAAAACCAAAGAATATAATATTTCTTCTGCGCAATGATCTATCTAAACTCTCTATGGTTCTTTGTTGGTTTTCAATTTTTTCTTCCAGTAGCAAATTTTTTATTTCGATATTTTTAAACTTTTCGTTTATATTTTCATTTATTGATTTTGTAATTTCAGCTCTCATATTTTTCATTTCTTGTTTTTGTTGTGTCATATCTTCTTGAATACCTACTTCTTAAAATTTTAGTGATTTAATTTTTTCGCCCTCTAGTGTCAATTTGCAGGTTTGATTAAATGCTGTAAGGTTCGAAAATAATGATTTGAAACGATACGGCTATTTAACAGTAGATGGTGCTTTTACCAAGTTTTCAATGAGTAATTTAACAAAGATTTAGGTTATGAAACAAATGAGAAGTTTATTCAAATAAAATTAGACTACTAAAACACTTCCTATCGTCAATAGTATGTAGAGATTATCACACATTTGGTCGCTTTTTTAGTATTTAATGAATTTTGCACTGTAAAATTGAAATTTTATAAATAACGGTTTATGATTTAAAAGTTAATTTATCACACTATTTTTAGTATTTTCACTGGTAAATTAATGTTTTCTTTCACTTCGTTCACTGATACACACAAGTTCTTAACACAAAACTTTTTAAAACTGGTTAATAGACACTTTACAAATTTTAAAACTTATTTTTGTACGAACCTGATATCAACAGTTACAAGGTGGCGCCCTCTTTTTTTGGTGTAGGTCTCATAGAATACTAACCAATTAATTGTATAGCTTATGCTGAGTTTGTTAATATTATTAAAATAGATAAAAACAGAAATGTTACTGTAGACTATAATAGTTAAAGTTATAATGTGTGTTGTGTGTGTTAGATTTATGTGCTATGCGTAAAGCATTATGTGTATATGTAACTATGTGAATCATAAAATTAAATAAAACAAATTTTATGCAATATATTATTTTTTATTTCTTTATAAACCCCTATTTAATCTTGTACAAAACACTGTTCGAGTTTAAACTTTACATAAGCACACTGACTAAACCACTGAACAAGCTGCTGCCAAGGATCATCATCATCTTCCCAATCTTTTAAACCACCACCAAAATGGAAACACTTAGTCCTGTCTGCATGGCCAGTATAAAAGAAACCGGCTTCTGCAAGATTTTCAAACTTGTCGCATAATGAGAGGCCAGTCTTCGAAACTGAGCAAACGGCTAGATTTTGAACTGAAGAATGGATATTCAGCTCTTGAGTACTGCATATTCTTCTATTTTTCTTCTCCATTCAGTGTTGTAGTTTTGTTATTCAGTTACGTGTTCTGTACATGAATGCCACACTCATCTCTTCCTTTTGCTCTTGTCTTCCTTTTGTTTTCAAATCATCATTTCTTTATAGGTAATTAAAACATTTTTTAACGCACAGATTTTCTTAAGAGTAAAACAGTTATACAGTAAAGTATCTACAATAAAGTTCACAAAGAGTATTTAAATTGGGATCTCTTAAGCAACTTATATCTATGATAATATTATTTTCATCACAAATATCTTGTACCCATTTAATGTTTTCACATCCTTTTAAAAAATCTTTTTTATTTCTCAAATTTGTCTTGATAATTCTGTGAAACTCTATAATCAACAACGCCCTCACACCATCGATACCCCTTTTGTGCGTTTCAATCCAGCCAATTTGTTTTTTCTCTTCAAGAGATAGTGAAGTGAAAGGGTAAGGAGGTTTAATTAGGAATATTTTGGTGTACTCTACAGAGGCTATAGCAAATTATTTTACTATAAATTCATTTTTGCTATTTTTGAATTCTAGAAAATCTACGATTATTGTATTGCTATTCATGATATTTTCTTAACGATATTACTCAGTGGTTTGTATTTAAATATACAATCGTTTAAAATCAAGCAATAAGCGGTTGTCTGATCTGGTATTTCCTGATCTGTTTCGATTTCAACTCTCACATCGACCGAACGTTTTAATCAAACGACGATACACTGTCTCCATGACAGCAGCTGCTTAATATTATATAGCACGGTAAGTTATCTAATCCAAAGCATTTTCGCAGTGAAACTGATAGTAACTTTATGAGTCAACAAGCTTATCTCTCATTCTTTCGTTAGAATTTCCGTCCGTCCGTCCGTAGACAACTGAGCAGGTTTGACGATGGAAACAGACTGCTGTGGCCAATCTGCTCCACTGCAATACTCACGGAACCATAAGGCTAACAAATATAATATAATAATATTACATTGAAAACATTTATATCTATTTGAAAGGCCATGATAGAAGTTATTATATATATAGAATAGGCGTAGTTAAGCTGAAAATGTTGAAATACCTTAAAAACATACCAAGAAATAAAAACGAAGCTAGCGTAATACCTACGTGGCAGTAATGAAGTACCCTACTGATGCGGTTTTAAGTATTTTACACACTAATACACCATAAGCTATTATATAACCAAGTTTTTCATTAACGATTTTTACAAAACTTTTGGCAAAAACGCCTTACATACGTCTATGGTCAAAGCTTTATTATTTGATAGAGTAATAAACCTTTGTGCAAAGCATCTGTGTCTTCGTACTAAAAACGATACAGAAGCTTCGTCTCAGACTAATTGCGAAGGATTTGATTTTTTATTTTTATGTTATATTTTGAGCAGTAATCACGCGGTAAATAATATTAAACACCCTTGTATACTGAACAACATTTCGTTTTAATTACTTGCTCGTAAGCCAGCTTAGACTAGAATGCTTGACCATGGCACTGGGCACAACTTTATTAGGCACAATAAAATAATACAGTGTGGTGGTGCCTATCGTGACAATTAGGCTTGAATTCGAGGAACGTAGTCACTATAAAAATACTTTATCTAATCTAACTTTTAAATAAATTTTTTTTTGCTATGCTCTCGGAAATAAGTAGTTTGGTTTTAAACTCAGTATCTACATAGGTACCTACCCACATCTATAAGTATATATTAGCCGGCCCATTACCACTTCAGCTCTTTGATACGTTGGGTTATGTTTGGGTCGAAGTTAGACTTACCTAGTCGAACAATTGCTCCTACGTAAACATACTCTTCAACATCTTCGAGCGTAGTGCTCCCCACAAGTACTTATGCGGGCATGCGATAGATCTTACTCATGGATATTGTCTTGTTATTGTTCATATTAGGACATATCGGTTTGTTGCTCAACCTCAACTTAGCACTGCTGAAGGTTTCTGTTTCATCACTCTTATTTCAACACAGTCAAAGGCTTTTTTATACTCCACATAAGCACGACAAAGTGGCAGATAGTTCTCTCCGGTCTTCTATACAATTTGAAGAAAGGTGTGTATGTGATATTGTGGTATATTGTACCAAAGCGTATTCGGAGACAAGCTTTTTCGTGAGACTGGATATCGTCAAGTCGAACAGCTCGTAAACACAGCCTAGAAGGTAAAACGGTCTTTAGTTCTTCAATAAAGCGTTATTACATGTCTTGAAGATCAAGACTACCACACTTGCACCAAGCTTCCGGGGTAGTTTTGTTCTAGTTCTGTAAAATAGTAATAAGGGTCTCAATAGCGTCGAGATAGCCAAATTAGTTTATTTCAATTATTTCCATCGCAAAATGTCTTATGGAATTTTGCTATGCGGTAATTACGGCTGATTTAGAAGCTATTTTTGTTTTACCATAAGAGCTATTACAACCTAAAACCGAGAGAGTCTCTCAGAGAATTCAGAAAATTTTCAAAAATTAAATATATTCACTTTGGCCTCTCAGTATATTTACGAAAATTTAATGTATGTTCACAAAAACAAAAGTAGTTTTATTAAAAAAAAAAAAAAAGATATACACTCTGTTAACACTATGAACAAACACAAGCTAATGATACCAGTTTCTGGACTCCACAGAGTCAATGTATACGCTATGACAGTCCCAAAAATATATAAGGTCTCTCTATTGCCAAGTTTAAATATTTTATTAAACAAAACTGTATAAAAAATGTTATTATTACAAATGAATACATGGTTGATAATACCCCCTGGGAATGAGCTTGTGGCTTCCAAGCTGTCTGTAAATAAATTTTGTAAATAGTTTGTACAACCTTACTTATTTTTATAATTTAAAAATGTATTTAAAAATGTATTTATTGCTTTTCGAAGTATTCTCCGCGAAATTTGACACATTTTTCCATACGATGGAACCAATCATTGAAGCATTCATTCCATGCGGAAGTTGGGGTCTCCAAAATGGCCGTTTTGTAGGCGTCCACATCTTCTTCAGGCGATGACAAGCTCTGTCCACGCAATTTATTCTTTATTTTAGGGAAAGTATAGAAATCGTTAGGGCTTAGGTCGGGGCTGTACGGCGGATGGTCTAATAATTCTATGTTTTCTTGCTCTAAAAACTCTTTTGTTCTGTGTGCGGTGTGGGAACTCGCATTGTCGTTATGGAGGATGATGCGGCGGTTGCAGTTCTCTTTACGGAGTTCAGAAACGACCTGTGGCAAACAAATGCTAGCATACCATTCTTTTTTTTTTTTCTCAAGAAAAAAATATGAGGGCGGGTTTTTGAAAGCGAGGCCCCCTTTTTTTTTCCCCGTTAAAATTTTTGGCTTTACTTTTTCACTGTTTCTGGTTTTTTTTCGGGTTCGTACGCTATACAGATTTCGTCACCTGATACGATGTTGTATACAGCATTTGAGGATCCTGCGTGGAATCTTTCGAGAGTTCTGACGCACCAAGTAACGCGAGCCGCTTTTTGCTCTTCACAGAGCGAATGCGGTATCCATCGGGAAAACAACTTTTTTACACCTAATTGTTCATGCAAGATTATTTGTATTTGACTCATGCCAATGTCTAAAGTTGCCTGAATTTCGCGGTATGTCACATGTCGATCTTCCTCAATCAGCTTACGCACAGCATCAACGTTTTCTTGGGTGACTGCAGTTTTTGGACGACCTTGACGGGATCATCACTGAGCTTGACACGTCCACGTTGAAATTCAGCAAACCAGCGATAAATTGTGGTTTTGGATGGGGCTTCTTCACCAAATGCAGAAATCATCCGGTCAACACACTGTTTTTGTGTTAAACCACTTCGAAAGTCATAAAAATCATCGCTCTTGAATTTTCTCGAGTCAAATTCATTTTCTCAACGACTATACAAGTTTGACAAAACCTTGTGACAAGACCCCGTAAG